TTAGAAGCAGAAGCAGCAGGACTTGTTTCATCCCGGGTGTCAGGTCATGGTGCTGCTGAGGAGTCGAGTTTGAAGTCATCAGCAGCAAGCGTACCATCAGCAGCAGCAGCAGCAGCAGCAGCAGCAGGTGCTGCAGCAGCAGGACCAACGACAGCATTGGAAGCAGCAGCAGCAGCAGCAGCAGCAAAGGAACGTCTGATCGCCAGGCTGCGGCAGCTAAAGAATGGATTTCCCCCCCGGCTGCGCTGCCGCATATGGCTTGCGCTGCTGGAGGTGGAGGAGCTGGGGCCGCTGCAGCAGCAGCAGCTTTCTAACCTCATAGCACAGACCCCGCTAGACGAGCCCAATCAAGTAAGCGTTTGCTTCCTTGCATCTAGTTGCTGCTGCTGTTGCTGCTGCTGCTGCTGCTGTTGCTGCTGCTGTTGCTGCTGCTCGGGCTGATGCTGCTGCTAGGGCTGTCGGCCTGTGTGAGTGCTGGAGTTGCTGTTGCTGCTGTTGTTTCTGCAACTTACAAAGCTACTGATGCTGCTGTTGCTGCTGCTGCTGCTGCTGCTGCTGTTGCTGCTGCTGCTGTTGCTGCTGCAGCGGGTGATAAAGAGCGACGTAGAACGCACGCGCGCGCGGCTGGCGGTGTTTAGAGAGGCGAAGACGCGGAGGCTGATGGAGCAGATGCTGACCTACTACTGCAAGTCCCAGGCCTTGAAGTACAAGCAAGGCCTCAACGAGCTCCTCGGTAAGCATTCACTGCAGCAGCAGCAGCAGCAGCAGCAGCAGCAGCAGCAGCAGCAGCAGCAGCAGCAGATGCAACGCAGGGTAGTGCCGGGGCGAAGCTGTAGGCCGACGGCAACCCGCTGTTTTGTGTGTATTAGTTTTATGAGTGTATAATATAGCGCCGTTGTTGTTGTATCTTTAGGGTTTAGGGTTTAGGGTTTAGGGTTTAGGGTTTATTGTTTGCCTTATGTGTTTAATATATGCTTTGAAGCGTACGTTCCTGTTTTCGTTCTCGCGCAGCCTAGGGTCTAGGGTTTAGGGTTTAGGGTTTATTGTTTATTGTTTATATGTGTGTGTATGTATGCAGCCCCGTTTTTATATTTGGGTGCATGCGAGTATGGTTTTGCTAGCTGGGAGGTGTACAGCTGCTTCGTTGCTTTTGTGCGGCGGTTTCTGCCGGCTATGTTTGCTGATGATGACTTCACCGCGCTGCAGTCTTCGTTTCAACA